TATTCAGAAAGAATAAACCAGTTTTATTTAAGAAAGGACTTGTATCGCTGAAGTTTCTTCGGAAAGTATTTTTACGAAAAATGAACTAACGACCAGAGACGTAACAATACTTTATCATCCAAAAAAGTCTTAAAGGAATAACGTTTTCATTTATTTACTTTGTTAGATTTTAAGTTATTTTGTATTAATTTCATTGTACAACTATTACTCAGTCAATTGTTATATATTTATTCAAAATATTTTTCATTGGACTTCTGTTGTAGAACATTTATTTGGAAGAGCGTGGTGTTTGAGTCATGTGCCTTGTTCATGTATAATGTATACTAACTTAAACGACGACATTATTATTATTTGTTTTTCCAAGAGCTTCAAGTTAAAATCTCTTACCTTGTTTTACATTACCTATATTCACCGACCTAGCATATTTTAAGAAGAGTAATCAAAATGATTTAATAAAAGATTTTACGACTTATACCTATGCCTAGCAGGTTATGAAATCAGATGAACTAGCGTTTATTGTTAATCTAGATTATTTAGCCACAAACCCTTACCAAACTAATCTTGAGCCTAACCTTGTACACACATAAAACTCAAGACAGCTGTCCTTTTTTAAGCTATTAGTTGCTGTATTTATTGAATTCAACAAAACCACCAGGACGGCCTTTATACAATATACACGTGGACATTAAACAGTTTTTCAAATTTCTGTAACATACTCATTATCATAAAACAATTATATTTATTAATGTAATATCACTTGATAGCAGTGAAGGCCTAGATCATAAATAATAGAATATTACTTCTTCTGAGTTTAATTTTAATATAATTAACATTCCACGAAGAAAGGATTAAAGCAACACGCAGAAAAACAATATGTAACTACAGCTGTTAACATAACACTGGAATATTCATAAACATTAGCAACCATGCAATATATAAATATATTTTAAGAAGCAAGTAATTGGCTATAAATAATTTATAATTTGAACATTCTTACTTATAACGTTGATCAAAATACTGATACGTTAATTAATAAGTATTATTATACAGCAATCTGTGTTCAGTTTGACATTTGTAAATGTTTCTTTCTGTCGGTTTTATCCTCGGGAAGCAAAAAATTCGGCTCTCTTCATTCCTGCAAAAACAAACATAATATTTACTAATATATCGTTCAGGAAAAACGAAATATCAGTGAGAGCTGTTTCATAAAATAGACTATCACGAAAACCTTAATATTAATTCTAAAGAAATTTAGATTTTTATTACTTGCTTGCAAAAGTCTTTTTGTTTTTCTTGCTTTAAGGAAGCCCCCCAGTGGCACAGCGGTGTGCTTGCAGACTTACAACGCTATAATCCGGGTTTCGATACCCGTAATGGGCAGAGCACAGATAGCCCATCGTGTAGCTTCGTGCTTAATTACAAACAAGCTTTAAGTAAACAATGTATAGAACTTACAAATGTAAATCAATGCAATAAATATGATATTATGAAAGCGTGAAGACAGAAAGAAAATTTATTCATAGGTGAATAATCTTGACATCAAACTTTTATTTATCTTGCAGTCCCTCGGTGGGTCAGTGGTAATTTCACGAATTTAAAAGCTAAAATCCGGGGTTTGATTCCCTGCCCTGGACAGAGCGCAGATAGCCCATAGTGTGTAGCTTTATGTTAATGGCAAAAAAACAACAACAAGGAACACACAATCTATCATGAAAAAGCCCTCATCTTTCTGGTGGCTCAGTAGTAAGCCGGACAACTTATAACGCTAAAATTTGGCGTTTGTTCTCTACCGTGGGCACGAATAGCTTAATAACAAATAAACAAACTATCTTGCAAAAAAAATCTTGCTCATTTAGAACCTTAAAATGATATATTGCAGGGGTTTCCAAACTTTTCCAACCCATGACTCACCTGAGTAGCCTTGGTCAATACTATTTTAATATGTTTCAGTAAAGTCTTGAAGTGCTTTTATATTTTGGTGTTTCTGTTTTGCTCAAAATATTTTCATGATCGTTACTTTAAAAATAATTTAATGTATTTACGTTTTATTGTGTCTTTGTTCTGCGACCCACCCCATTACTTCTAGCTAATGCATCCTCTGTATAAATACAGTTTGTTTGTAATTAAACACAAAGCTACACAATGGGCTATCTGTGCTCTGCCCATCACCGGTATCGAAACCCGGATTCTAGCGTTGTAAGTCCGCAGACATACCGCTGTACCACTGGGGGGCGTATAGATACAGACATCTATATCTAAATGAACTGCAGTAAACTATGTTTTATGAATGAGTAAAACGTAAAACACACTAACTTTAACACAATAAGTAATTATTTTCGAGCGAGTGGAAGGTCTGAAGACAAATCTATTATCTTTTTTTATTTCAATATTTAAATTACTTACGTTGACTGATAATACAGGATAATATTTTAGTTGGTATATATTTGCATAAATTCTTTAAATGTGTGCTGTATTTCACCAGCCAACACCAACCTGGAAACATTCGTACCTCTTTCGTCGCTGTTTGGTCATCTTGCTTCGTGCTTCTTTTACCCCTCATTCCGAAGAATGCTCCTGCCCTCTTGCTTTCAATGTCTATATTCCCTGGGGGGTAAGACCCATTTTCAACTGAGTGATTCCTTATGTAAGCTTGTTTCAAGTTTTTGATGTAATCATCAACATCCTCTTGGTTTTCAAGTTCCAGATAGTTTTTGTAGTCGTCGCTTTTGGGGTAGCTGCTTAGAAATCTTGTATCCTCCCATTCACTGCCTTTCTTGCCTCGCAGTCCAAAGAACGAACTAGCTCTCTTCTCGTCTACCATGTCCTTTTTACCTCTGAGTCCAAAAAAGGAGCTTGCTCTTTTGTCGTCGGAAACTTTTTTCCCACGAAGTCCAAAAAAGGAGCTTGCTCTTTTGTCCTCGATAGATGAATCCTTTTTGCCTCGCATGCCAAAAAATCCTGAAGCTCTTTTGTCTTCGTCTTTTTTTCCTGGAAGTCCAAAAAAGGAACTTGCTCGTTTTTCGTCATGTTCTCTTCGGCCTCTCATGGGAAAGAAAGCCATAGCTCGCTTAATTTCATTTGTTTCCTGCTTGTGTCCAACTGGCTTGATTTCTCGAAACTGTTAATAATCAATATTTTTACATTAAGTTTTGAATTCCATATTCTTGCATACAAAAGTCATTTAAGTAGGTTCTACTGTTAAACTACAATTATCACAACGACAGAAAAATATTATTACAATCATTTATGCTTTCATAAATGCCAGTATCAAAGTACACAAGTTACTCGCATCTTCATTAGGGTATCCATTTTCTTAAAATATGTGAAACTTATCTTTAAAAAAAAGAGAAATTATCACATCGTGGTAAGAAGTTTTATTCACATTATAAAGATATTTAGAATAATATGACACGAAGAATAACAATTTAGAAATTAAACATTTGTTTTACAACAATGTTATTAAAACAAGAATGGGTTTCACTTATCTCAAGTAAATTGTAATTGTTGAAATATTTACCGTTAAAATGTTATTCCAAGCTATATAAATATAATAGTACTGTCTATTGTATGTCCATGTAACTACTTCGCAGGGTGTGGATGGATCTTCACTAAAATTGGTATGGAGGCTCATTAGGTCCATGCGGGGGACGGAGGGGGGGGGTTCATACAAATTTTCAGTTTTCTATTTTGGGTTTTTATAGGATTTTTTGCGTTTTTAACCATTATCTCACCTCCTGTAAATGGATCTTCACCAAAATTGGTATGGAGGTTTGTTGGGCCCATGCAAAAATGCATACAAATGTTAAGTTCTGAATTTTGCGTTTTGCGGTTTTTATAGGCGATTTTTACCACTACATTGCCCCCTGTTGATGAATCTTCACCAAATTTGGCAAGAGGGTTTGTTAGGTTCATGCAGAGAGATATTCAAACTTGCGGTTTTACATTTTGTGTTTTGCAGTTTGTATGGGCGTTTTTGCGTTGTTTACAATTACATATAAGGGAAGCAGCTTTTCATGTCCTAAGATAACCCTTCATTAATCATGAATTTACACAACTTCCTTCCAGGGAGACGGGTATTCCAGCTAGTATTAATATTTCGTGTTTTCGAAAGACAGTTCTTCTGGCTTCCTTCCTGAAGAAGGGGATCAACTTTTACAAAATGATTGAGTTATCAAGTTTCTTCAATTGTGGCTTACCAACTTGTTTACCCTATTAGTTTTTGAGGTATCTCAGGGTTGGTGTTATCAGCTAAATTACAATAAGTTGATACTATGTAGTGGACTAACAAGTTTTAACCGTTATAAAATAATATCAATAAATTAAAATGTAATATTAATTTGCATAATAAACGGTGTAGACAAACAAAATAACGAATTTACTAAAAAAGCTCAAATACTTGCGAATATTCAATAAATCTAATATTTATTTTTGTATTTTTCCACCTCCAATCATCTTATATATATATATTATTTGGAGTAAAATAACAAATAACAGCTTTAAATATATATTGGAATTGATGTCGAGCTCCGTGTCACTTTAATCTTCAACTACTTAGAAGTTTTTATTTTTTATTTTTTAAACAAAATATAGCTGTAATAAGTGTAAATTTCAACATCATTTTACCCCCCCCAAAAAAAGATCTTTAAAATTTATTGCAGTTTAATTTCTGTTTTATAATTTATCATAATAATTTAAAACATCTATTAGTTTTATTGTTAAGAGTATATTTATATGAATACACTTATCTGGATTATATGAATACATAATTGTCAAAAACATTTGTTTGGATGTGTTACAAGTTTTAAAAACATATATTGAGTGATTTATTTATTCATAACATGACGTACTTGAAACACTTCGTCAACTGAATCAGAGAAAGCATTTGCTAGGATAGCATTGCCTGTGGTCAGAAATACTGCAAACAATACAGTTGTCAGGCTTGACATTCCTCCCAAAGAGAGTCGCATTTCTGTGAAAGATAAAAAAAGTCTCTCTCTATATATATATATATTATAATTTAGTGTCATTTTTCTAGTAAAACACTTTTTTCAAAAATTAAAAACATAAAGTAGGAGTTAAAAAAATGAGTAGATTATATTATTTTTGTACTTTTATAAAATATAATACATTGACAAAATTAAGAATATTAATCATAAATTATTAATTTTCCACTGATGAAATAATACAAAATACCCGTAGAAACCAAATCATTCCACGCATACGCTGGAAACCTATATCTTGTTCTTCATTGAGATTCGGTCCACGTTTTGGATCAGGGAGGGTCAGGTTCAGTGTCGACCTCTTCCTCCCTCTCAGGAATAGATGTTATTTTGCTTGCACTGTTACTGAATTCTAACTAATAACCCCTGTTACGTTGTTGCATCACTTAATTACTTACAGTATGTTAAATTTTGTCCATTGTCTGCAGTTTTAATTAACATACCCCTTTCGTGCCACGTCCAATTCATGGGGTAATATTAACTTGTATATTTTCACTAGCTTCACTTATGTATGATCGCACTATTAGTCCGTGTTCACAATACAGTTCCACTTAGCAGTCATACACACACATACTCCTGTTTTTATATACAAAACCCATTTAAAATAGTCTAGGATTCAGCTAGCCTAGCACTATTTGGCCTCCAAGTTTCCTATTTATGATGTTTAGAGGGGAAGAGGTACATAGGGCTTGGTTGATCATGTATTATGTAACTCCTTAGTTTGCTCATCAGTTCATTTTTATTAATATTTTTCTTATAATATTGAAGCGAGTTATCCAGGAGTCTGTTTGATAAAGTTGGCATGTTTGAATAGCTGTGTAGAAATATTTGAGTTTCTTGATCGTAGGACTCTGTATGCTTTCGTTAAAATATAGTTTTGTATTTGCTGTAGTTTATTGATGTGTGGTTTTTGATACATTGATCCATGTTATACGACTGGTCTGATGTATGTTCGGTAAATTTTAAATGTGTTTTCTGGTGAAGCTTGGTTGTTGTTGTCAGTGAAACTCCTGAGGTAACTCGATTTTTTTCCTCCACATTCTGGTTTTTATGCTATTAATGTGTGCCATCGAGTTTAATTTTGAGCCAAATGTAATCCCTAAGAATTTGGATGAGGTTGCTACTTTTAAGAGAATCCCGTCAGATATAACTGTGGTATTATTTGGCTTGTTTTGTACGATTTTGTAAATAACGTGACTTGTATTTTATCCACATTAATTTTAATTCTCCATTTATTGAAGTACAATTATATTTCGTTTAGTAGTGGTTGTATATTGTATGTTGCTGTTGTTGGGTTGGGGGACTCTTCCAGATTGCAACCTCATTTGCGAACTCTGAGAAAAGAGTGTGGTTTGGGCCTTTGAGAGACATCTCGTTGACATACATGATAAACGGGGTAGGGTTAAGTACTCCTCCTTGAGGGACACCCGCCTCCGGAGTGCAGTACTCAGAGTGAGTGCCCTCAACATTAACTCTAATGCTTCTATCTAGATAGAAACCCAGCGAATAATATCTATGGGGTGTCCAAATCTGGACAGTTTGTATCTGAGTCCATTGTGGCATACTTTATCGAATGCTTTTTCAACATCTAGGAAGCATGCGACTGTACATTGTTTTTTATTAAAGCCATGTATTATTTCTTCCGTTAACCTTAGGAGATGATCTGTTGTTTGTCTTGCTTTTCGGAAGCCACTTTGTATTTATATATTTAGTTTCAAGGTAATTTATGAGTCTCTTATTTATAATTTTTTTTCAAGTAGTTTTCCTAGATTGCTTATTAGACTTATGGGTCTTTAATTTTCAGGGTTATTCGCTGATTTTCCTTCCTTCTGGAATATAAGAACATCGGCTTGTTTCCATGCGGTTGATATGTATACTGTTATTTGAGATAAGTTGTATAAAGATGTTCTAATAATATGTTTTGAATATTGTCTTGTCCTTGTGCTTTGTTTTTCAAACGTTTTATGTTTCCTTGTACTCTTCTGCTACTGTGATGGGTTTGATAAGTTGTTTTGTTGTTTAGTCATGTTCCGCGTCTGTAAGGTTTGATTAGTTCTTTATTTTTGAATATTTGCGCAAAGCTACTCAAAGACCATCTGCGCTAGCCGTCTTAATTTTGAACGTTTTTGAAATGACAGACTATAGGAAAGCTAGTTAGTCAACAGTACCCACCGCCAACTTTGGGCCTACTCTTATCTGACCAAATAAGGGGATTTGACCATAACCCGTATAATGCACCCATGGCCAAAAGTGCGGAGCGAGATTATTTTGGCGGCAACGGGACGCGGACATTTGATCCGCTGACCAATGTCCACGCTCGGGTCTTATAAAATTTCAAGCAGGTATCAGTTTTATATGATTTTACTAAGTAATTTCAGTTCTTCAGGCTATGACATACCCTAATATAAAGGTCAAATCAAGGTCATCCAAGTGCATAAATTTACATAATTTGATAATTGACACTGTACTAAAACGAAATATTTTCGATTTAAAAATTATGAAAGTTTATGCGAAACTTTTAAGGGAAATAACGTTTTGGGGTTAATATTTTTTGTGCGCTATAACTTTTGTATTGACACAGACTGATAGTTTCAGAGATAGCGGTTTGGTTTACCTTGATTTAACCTTTACATCAGGACATCCTGTATTTTTTGTAGCGCTATAACTTTTGTATTGACACAGACTGATAGTTTCAGAGATAGCGTTTGGTTTACCTTGATTTAACCTTTACATCAGGACATCCTGTATTTTTTAGCGCTATAACTTTTGTATTGATACAGACTGATAGTTTCAGAGATAGTGTTTGGTTTACCTGGATTTAACCTTTACATCAGGACATCCTGTATTTTTTT